TCGGACCCCAAAAGTCTTGGTCTTGTCTCAGTCTCGATACACTCTGGTCTTGGACTTGTCTTGGTCTCGGGTTAGGTGGTCTTGACCACAACACTGCTCATGACCAACTAAAATCAGACAGTATAAGGCAACGTTTATACAAAAAATGTAATTAATTTAATGAATAGCGAATAAAAGTAGGAAAAAAGACATTCTGAAAGTCAATGCTTCTTTACAGATCTTGAAGCATTGTCTGTGGCTTTGCAAAGCGAGTACCTGGCCAGAAGCTAATTTTGTTTGGGCTGGTCATGACATTGGAATTTTGGAAACTACTGGTCTAAAAGACTGTAAATAGACATTAAGCAGTGCCAGATTTCATTGGCGGTTTCTTCTTGGTTAATTTTTAATAACCTCATAATGAAGTATTTTTGAACAAATATGACTGAGCATGGGATTTCCCTGGAAGATAAAAAAATGTGCTTTCAACAATATTATCACATGACAAATTCTGCTTCTTAGGATAACTAGCATGTAAATTAAATTTGAGCAATGTACTGTTTATACATAGTGATGCCTGGCTATTAAGTTGATTTAGTCTTTCAAGGTATGCTGTTATAGAATTATGGCAATATCTATGACAACTTTTAAATGAGGGAAACTTGGCACTCCAAAACTTACAACTGAAGAATTCAACAGAATCCCTCTTTTCTAAAATCATTAAGAAGAACATTAATAATGTTTATGCCTTTTTTGCCACTGCTCAGAGATTGACAAACCTTCATATGCCTATAGCATCTGAATTCTACTCTAGCAGAACCTGCAATGAATTTGCTAACTTCCTTTCTGAGAAAATTCTGAAAATCAGACAGTTACTCTGATTTTTAGAATTTTCTTCTATAGGTCAAAACCAAGACCAGCACCGATGTTGTACCCAGTCAAAGAAATCTGTAGAAAATGACACACGACCAAATTCTTTCCTGCCAACAGCCATTACCATCTTTAATAACTCTTTGAGAAATCTGAATTAATGAGCTACAATGATATTTAATTTCCCTTTGCGATTAATAAAGTAGTTTTGAATTTGAATCGAATTTGAAATCAACCACAAATGTATAGAAGAAATTATATGTAAATTACAGTGTTTTTTTTTTTTTTTTTCAAAAACTTCTGCCTGTCTGACTTGAATAATAAACTTATTTATCTTCAATGCAGTTTATTTATATACCACAGTTAACTTCAATCACCCATACATTCCAATTGAGCCTACTTCTCAAACAGTGCATCGAGCTAAGCTTATTATTCAGATTAGTTTAAAAAGTCTTCTGTCAAAGGAAACTGCAGTTTGCCTTCAAATTGTTGAATTGGAGCAATAACTCCTTGGACAAACACATAAAGATAATTGCTTTCTTTGTGTCATTGACTTTACAGCAATCCCTAATATTGAGCATGCATGTAGTGACAGTGGAGAGAAGAAAAATTCTCCTGTAGCCTCCAACAGAATCTGCAAGAAACCTTCAACTGAACCTAACCAGCCAGGACTGACTGGTGTTTTGAGAAGACAGAGCAGAGACACAAAAAACAGAAGAAATGATATAGGAATATTTTCTCTGTTAATGAAAAGTAAAAAGTTAATAGCAGTAGAGGAAGAACATTTGATTGTTGGCAGCATTATCTCAGCTGATGCTCCCCTCCAGGAAGGCATCAACAGAATTCCAGACCAGGTGTAGCTTCTATGGAGAGAAACAAAAATTGAGAGAAAGCATAAAGTTAACAGCTGAAATAGCAGCAAATAGTTCAAATTATAGAGTAGTAGAAGAAGAAATTGAGGAAAAGTGGTCAGTTTGTCCAGAAGCCTAATCCTATTGCAGCATGACTACTGAGATAGCTGTAATTCTCCCCGACCCCACATATTGGATTCAAATTCACAAAAAATGTTAATAATCCCAAAGGGTATTTAAATGAAGCACTCTTCCTCTCTCTACTCCCCCCTTGACTGGGGGAGTAGGGAGTCAAGTTAATTAAAACCTTTTATGTAAATGTTTTATTATAAGCCCTATAAAAGGAAAGTTTTAAGCCTGGTTTTAAGAGATTACCAGGTGTCTGCCTCACTGACTAAAATTGGGTGCTGGTTCCAGAGGAGAGGAGCCTGATGGCTCAAGGATCTGTGTCCCGTTATACTTTTAGAAAATCTAGGAACCACAAGTAAGCTTGCTGTCTGAGAGTGAAATGCTCTATTAGAAACACATGGAACCATCAGAGAGGGATTTTACATGAAAATCAAGAACATTTTTGACAATCCGGAGCATCAATGAGACTGTCATAGAAAAACAGTGTCTTCAGTCAGAAGCTTCTTCAATTTTGCTTTTATGCAGACCGCTACAGGAGATCCTTCCTGCCTACAGCCATCAGATTGTACAAAAACTAAAGAACCATAATGAGTCACAACATTTAATTCCACCTTTTGATAAATAACATATTTTAAAATATGAATTGAATTTGAACTGAGAATGTTCAGTCTTGCATGTTGTGAGCTGAAAAGCAGCATTTGTGAGTCTGCAGTTCGAGGAACTGCTCAAACTGCAGACTCGAGCAGTTCCTATTACCGACCTGTCTGTCTTACCACGTAATAGTGAAAAGGTTAATGTTCATAGAACAAATACCTAAAACTCAAATTTTGCCATTTTCACTCTGAGCAACTGCAGACAAAATATTTCACAAGTTTCTTAATTTGTGGTGTAGTATTTAAGTGCATTCAAGTATTTTTGAAAATAAATTGTATCTTAAATAAATGATAAAACAACAGTATGTAACTTAACAGCATTATATGAGACAGATAATTTGTGAAAAAATGTAGTTCCTCTGCCTTCTCCCAGTGGTCCCAGTTCTGTTTTGACAAATACACCGCTCGGTCAGAAACAACTGATTAGAGGTGATCGGCAAACAACTTGTTGCCGATCACCTGTATCTCACTTCTCAGCCTACGTGTGCAGGTTATCTCCTCTTTCCTTCACACTGCGCATGTGCTCAGCAGCAAATCCTAAGCGAAGTGGTGAGGACCTATAACGCTGTGAGAGAGAAGGGGAAAGTTTGCGTGTTGGGGCAGAAAATTACCTCAGGGTGAAGCACGTCAAAATGCATAAACACAACAAATCTAATGTGACATTTAAAAAACAAACACTTGACTGAGTTTGGCTACATTGAGGCTCAATGCAGAAAAAAAAGACATCTGGGGTGGCCAGACGCAGGTAAAGCAGCGCACAACTACCAACACTCACCCAGATGAGCGATACAGTCAGAAAGCTAAACAAATAACCCAAAAAATAATTTAAGTCAAGAGCTAGCGGTGTAAGACGCTGGTTCTGCTCTCACTGCTCTCTGCTATGTATCTGATATTTTACAGATGTAGCGCCATTTTTGCTCCACACGGCAGTGAACTCTCATACTGAACAGTTGCTTAAAGCTGCAGCATGCAACTCAAACAAAGAAAAAACATATTTTACATTCGCTATGTCCTAACATAAGACAGATAATCTCTGGAAAAAAATGGATCTCCTCTGCCTCCTCCCTGTATTCTGCAGAATTACTCACCTCGGTCAGAAACAACCAATCAGAACCAGTACAGAACAGCTAGCCAGACTGTCAGGAAGTTTTGTAAGTCAGGCTTGTTTATTTTGATGCAACCTGCATTTGACTTTGAATGAATGTTTTCCTCTTTTACTTGACATTGATGTAAGCAGTGTTGTGAGATTTAGTTGACTAATGTATAATTTAGAATACTGAGAACCTTACTGTTAAGTAGCTGCTGTATTGTACCTGAAAGTACTTTGCATGTTTTATGTCTAATTTAGGTGAATTTATTGGCAGATAGTTTTTCCATTTTGCCAGACCACATAGCATTTATACCAAAAGTGAAAAATTAACAACTAATCCAGGTGATCGGCCCTCATGGGTGATCGGAATTGGAATCAGCAGCAAAACACCTGATCGGAGCATCCCTAGCTGTCAGTCATGCTTGTGTGCATGCTGCTCAATGTGCTAATGGTGGAAACGCTTTTATTCACCGTGATCAGTGGCCATGCTCACTAAAAAATTGGGTCTCCATTTATGGTGGGCTCTGTTGTGGTGAACCAGCTGTAGCAGAGAGTAAAGGGGAGTGTGTGAGCAGCGTGTACATGAGTTGATTGACAACACAGACCTTCTTCTTGGCTCTGATTGGTTGCTGCTGACTGAGCAATGTATTTCTCTAGATAGCACTGGCAGAAGGCAGACGATCTTAATTTTTCACAGATAATCTGTCTCATATTATACTGTCAGGACATAGCAATAGTTTTAACAAATATGCAAAAAACATAATTTTCCTTACTCTGATTGGCTATTTTTTACTGGGAGAAGTGCATTTCTGCAGATTCTAACAGTAGCACTGGGAGTAAGTGAAGGAGCTTGATTTTTTTTCCCACAGATTAGCTGTTCCATACTATGCTGTCAGGAAATAGTGACATTTTCAACAAATATATACAACACATATTTTTGTAAAAGTTGCATACTGCAGCTTGAAGGTATATTTTCAATGTGGGAATGACAATGTATTTGTAACACATTCACAGCAACAAAAAGGATTTTTTTTTGTTTTAATTTTTATTTTCATTCTTGACAAGAAAGTTTGTACTTGAAAACTTTTTATTTTAGAGGAAACTTTAATTGTTCTGTAATTTGCAATTCCTTACATGTTTTTGCAACTTTATGAAAAGGTGTCTACATGTAGAGACTTTTGTTGAATTCTAATCTTACTCTAACTCTCGTGTTGTTGAAAAAGCAACATTTACATCTTTTATAATCAAAAACAGTAAATGTTTGTGAAACAGTAACTTTAATAGAACCAAAGTCATAGATTTTACATTTAGCAGGATGTGAACTGCAAACATTCATGCATGATTAAAATAAATAAATTAACAAAATAACAATCAAAAATATTCTGTGTACTTATTACTCATAACATTTGGTTGTATTATTCTATTCCTCAGGTTGAGTCACTGGCAGAGTCAGAGCAGGAGTCAGCCATGTTCCTGGATTCAACCATTACTTCAATCACAGCTGAAGTAAGATTTCTAACAAAAGCTAGACACAAGATTCTGGTTAATTTTGGAGCATAATGTGAAGTTAAGCAACCATTTATTATGCAAATAATATAGCTTGTTACGTCATAAATTCCCCAGGATAATTGGTTAGTGTAAAAATTGTTAGATTTGGCACGCTTGATTTTTAATTTTTTTTTTCCAAAATGGTAAATAACTGGACTGATATCAGAGTTGCAGGCAAGTATTTCAGTACTTCAGAGTTCTTGAATCAACCAGTTAACATTGCTGAATCTGTAAGCAAGCAACCCATCTCCATTCCATTCGTCCCCAGCAGATGTCACTGATTTATTAATACACACAGGGTGAACTTCATCCACCAATACAGTTTGAGCATGAACATGATATGGTTTTAAGTGGTTAACATTAATTGCTTGCAGTTTCTCCCGCTGTTCTGGACTAGCAATAAGATAATTTTGTCCCGACAGCTGTTTCACAACTGTATATGGCCCAGAGAATTTTGCTTGACAGGCACTTCATCTTTTCCTGGGAAGATGATAATTTCCCTTTAGCCATCTGTGTAGCGGTAGAGTCTCTGCCTAAACCCATTATTGTTTTGCATTATTAACATAATGCAAAACATTTTGTGGTGGTTCAGATGCAAATCCAAGTCATGCAATTTCAAAGGGTCAACAACCTGATTAACTGGCTCCTCAATAATACCGTCACCACATGGCACCCACTTTCTTAACAATGCCTTGTTTTCAACATGGTTCTGTATCTCCTCATCTGATAAAGCAGACTGATGCAAGTCCTGCAATGTAGGGTCAGATCTTTTCTCCTGCAGCAGATCAGACTGTGAAATACACACATGGACATTAGACAAGCAAGAAGAGGACATCTGTGTCTCTTTTTCCAAGTCTTTAAGATTTGTAGCACTGGATGTATTCATTAACTGTGTCACAGCACATGCTTGGAAAATGTCAGGGTGTGACTTTTCATTGTCATCAGGACCACTGCTGATCAAAGGTACTGAAACAACAACTGGACCCTCTGGTTGATTAGGCCAGAATTTTCTTCCAGCTATATTGTTTCCCAAAAATCACTGAGACACCATCTAGAGGAAGAGCAGGTTGAACACCTATCTTTACTTCTCCCTCAAACAACTCGTCAAACTTATGCACTGTAACACAAAACACAGATATACCCCTACCCAACATAGGTATAGATGATACAGATACGGAATCATCTGAAAAGGGTAAAACTGATGCCAGGACGAATGAATCATATGCACCTGGATCTCTCAAGATTGTAACTGGCACGTTGACGTCACTCCCTACTAAAGACACTTGTCCTCCCATAAGAAATGGCTTGACCTCAAATCAAGTTCTTCTTCTAATGGCACCTAAGTGATTTTGTCTGGAACATTTTAAAAAAATTATGCAGAGCAAGTGCTGCTGGTTTAAATTGAGATACATTTTTGTTTCTTGATTTCATCACAGCAGTCTTTCTTCCATTGACCTTTTCTGACAATAATTACATATTTTTTCCAGTTACTGAAGTCTGAAAAAAACCTCCAGAATGCGTTCAACACCAATTTGAAGCACTCATCCAATTGGTATCTGTCAAGTTCTTTCTGGTTTGATTAACTGTGTGATCCCCACTTGAAAAGGATCGTTTCCACTGTGAACTTTCAACTTGATCCTACTCAGGGAGACTTTCATTTCGTTGACTCATCTTTATTTTTTACATGATGGCCCACATAGCTCATCTCAATAGGTGAAAAACCTCAAAAAGAAATAGAAAGACATCTATTACATTCTGACATTAATAAAATAAATAACTCTTTTTTTTTTAAAGAATAATAAATATATATTTTTTTTCGTTGATTCGACAGCAATACATAAATTGGCATTTCATTTTTATCAAAATTTGTTAAATACCCTCACAGACATTCCAACTGACATTTCCTTTTCTTTCTACTTTAACCAATAAACACCAAGTGTATTTCCTTTTTTTTTCTTTTCAATCCACTAACTTGACCTCAATAAGACTAAACAGTACAACACCAATAATACAACAAACAATTCAATAGTGAGCAGCAGCATTGAGCCTTACCGGTTGTCTTTCACAGCTTGTTGAAACTTTTACACAGTTCTGAGTCAAATGCTCCAGCACTGTTTGCATCTCATGCTCTCAAACCAGGACTGACAGGTCAGTCACACTAAAGTAGCTGCACTCTGATTGCTAGGAGATTGAAGATTGAGTCCACGTGGTTCTCCTCACTAACAGGCAGAGGGGAGCTGCAGAAAGGTGCAGGGGAGTGACAGAAGGGAGTGGTTACCTAGCAGTTCACCGGAACAGTATCTATCGCTCATCCCCTACCGAGGGTGTAGATCCCATCTCATTATTGGGGGGGACCATAAACGGGAAAATTTCTTAAGACCAATTTTAGGGGGGTAGGCAAAGTTACAGTGAAATGTAATGTAAAATGTGGTTTAAAGAGTTTTTAAACCACATTCAAGCTGCAGGACCAAAAATGGCTAGTAATGCACATCAAACGTGTTTTTCTCAGTAAGCAACCTATTGAGAAACAAAACTAAAGCTCAAATGTTGCTTCTATACAAGTTTTGTTCAGTCTCACTGATCTAATCTCTGCTACACCTTTACAAAATTTTAAGGTTCTAAATAAAAAAGCTTCAATGAGTAACTGCTCTTAATAAAATTCCTCATAAACATTGATTTATTGTAATGGCTCCCAATACAAGTTATGGGCTATTTAAATTATAACTTGTTAAGTTGCTTTATTTTTAAGCCTTTTCTAATTTTGTCATGTCCTGGGTAAATAAGCAGATAGAAATGAATATCTAGGAAGTATCATAATTTAAACATAAGACTAAAAGTACCAGAGTTTATATAGAAAAATATTCAGATTTTATTTTGTGGTTTTAAAGGCTCTACATTGAAGACAGTGAGAAATAAAGGCAGCTTTCTGTTTTTTTCTCTGTTCTCGGCTCAAACATAGAGCTGTCGGCCACTCCTCAGCCCCTCCCTCCCATTTCAAACTTTTCTAATTAACTAAAACTTAAAGAGTTAAATACGAATTAGATGTTTGCTACCTTTAACAAAAAAACTTAAGTCTATGAAAGCAGTGTAGCAGTTTTGCTAACGAGGCAGCTTATGATTCAGCCAAAGTAATAAAATAAACTACAGTCTGATTTTTATTGTTAATATGTTTCTTCTTATTGAGCAGTGAATGTAAGTAAAAGGTGTTACATGTCTTTTGCTTTAAGTATTTACTTACTGGAAGGTTTTATGTTTGTGCTGCAGAGCAACAGCTAACAGCTAGCTCCTCACTTCAGCGGCTCTGACTGTGTGCCGTTCAGCGCTGTTGTTGCTCTTCCTTCAAGTTGGACTGAACCATTGTTCGAACAATGGTAGAGGGGGACCTAAAAATTAATTCTTATTTTGCTCTGAAATAAATGGCAGATTTAGTTTGTTCTTTGTTTCTTTTGCCTGTTCATATTGATATTATTTAAATGCAAATGTTTCTTCAATGATTTTTTTGGGGGGGACAATTCTAGACTTTTCCAAGATTGGGGAGGTCACCTTTTGTTCATTAATATACACTGCAATATGTTCAGAAACAAAATTCTTAAATTGTTCTTGAACCATTAAATTACAGAGGTCATCAATTGTTTTGATCTGAGCAGAAGTGCACCACCAATTATAATTAATCTCCCAAATCTCTTGGAAACTCCAAATAAGTTTTGCCACCTATTTTTCAGTTCCTCAACTTCCGTCTATGCACCTCAGGGACCCATTCATATGCCTTAAGTATTGCAGCTTTAACCTGGGAATGATCCTGACCATCACTTAAACAGTGTATAAATGAAGCTTTTTGAGCATGACCAACTAAAACACACTGACGCAAAATTGTGTGGCCCAAATCAGGTCAGCCCCTTGGCTCTGCAACTCTCTTTAAAAAAAAATAAAAAAAATTCAATATCCTTTTCACTAAACTTAATGTGACGTCCCCCTCCTCTCTACGTGGAGGCATCCGTCATTTACTAATTGCGGTTTGTCCCAACGCGTGCCAGAAGGGGCGGGACCAGGATCCACTAGGGCCCAGCGCATCTTGGCTATATAAGCAGCCTGCTCTGGTGCGTCAAGAGAGGGAGAGGAGAGAGAAGGAACTGGGTGGGAGGAGTTGAAGCTGGCTTGGAGCTAAGTTGTCTTCTTCATCCAGCTCTGCTCTCCAGACTGGCGCTTCTCCGACTTGCCTGCCCAGCCCGACTTTGTTTGGTTTGGTTTTGCTTTTCTTTTCTTTTGCAGGACTCCCCTGCTCAAACCACCAGCTTCTGATGATGCCATTGGCCACAGGGGCCGCCTGCTTATTTGTTGCTGTTTTCTTGCTTTATTTTTAGATTTGATGCTCAATAAAGAGCATATTTATTGTTGAAGTCCGTGTCTCCTTTGGTTTTTGTTATGGCTTCACGAGCCGGGTCGTAACATTAGTGATTTGCTCTTGGTGCACCAAGAGCAAATCACTCAAAATATGAGATGATTTATATTTAGAGTCCACAATACAAAATTAAATATAGGTCTGTAATTTATTAAATTATCTTGTTGGAGAGAAGGTTTCTTAAGTACATTTCTTAACTATCTAGCTATCTAGAAAGCCTGCAGTAGATGTCCATTTCTTAGGATAGATTAATTACAACTAAAATAGGGACAGTAATCAAAGGAAGATTCCCAGATGCACACAAACGAGTTCCCTGACGTATCAGGTTGTTTCTGATATGAGGCATTCTGATATGGTTTCAAATGTGTACAATAAGACTGCAAAGTAAAGTTCTGCAGCACACAGGACTAGGGCTGAAATGATTCCTCGAGTAATTCAAATACCTCGATTATTAAAATTCCTCAAGGAAAATTGATCTGTCTCAAAGCTTCGTTATATTATGTTTGATTATTTAGCACACTGTGTTCCAGCCGAGACTTTATTTGCCCTCTCACTTCCG